CCAACCCTATTTTGTAATTTATTTAGAGACAGGGTCTCACTGAGTTGCTTAGCACCTTGCTTTTGCTGAGGCTGGCTTTGAACTGGGATCCTTTTGCCTCAGGCTCCTCAACCTCTGGTATTACAGGTGTGAGCCACGGTGCCCGGCGAAGGCATCTAATTATGTTCTTGATTACAGGGGGTACCATATAGGCCTCACAGAGTTCTTCCAGGATAGCCTTCTCAAGTGCTCTGGGGTAGACAGCACCTCCATCAAGGACAGTGCTCCCCCAAGGGAAGACCTTAACTCTGGGATAGTAAGAGTTAAATTAAAGATGGACAGTTCTGATGTTTCTGAGAGAGGAAAAGTTTGTCTGATATGAGCATCTTGCCTTTCAAGGTTTTTGAGGTATGTAAAGCACATGCTATAGTTTTTGGACACAGTAGGTACTCAATAATTGGTGGCAATTATAAAGAGAATGCAGCCAACTCTAAAGAACAAACAGACATGGGATTGAAATCCAGCTTTGTTAATTATTAGATGGAAAAATAATTTCCTGATCATGAGCAAGTTATTTGAGCATTCTAATCTTAAAGTTTTTCATTTGTAAAAGTGATAAGTAGTCATTAGGAACAAGATTCTCTATTTGGTGTGGTTATGGCAACTTTGTTCAGTTTATAGGTAAGTTAAATGAAGCTCATAGACATTAAGCATAGACTTTAGGAGGTGGTAATTTAGCTAGTGTCAAAAGTTAAGATTTAAACCCAGGTGTCTGATTCTGGCACCTGATTATTTTCCAGTTTATAATACTGCTCATGTGAAAGAGAGATGACAAAAAATGCTGAATTGTTGTGCTGATTAGATTCAGTGCACAGTCAGCCCTCAAAAATAGTAGCTATCATTAATAATTATGATTAAGGTGGTGTAGGACAATCTATATATTCATATTAACCAGAGTTGGAAGAATTTTAACATATACAACTCATTAAGGCCCCTGGTTGGAAATTTCCTGGTTGGCATATAGTAGGTAGTCTGTAATTGCTTGCTGACATATTAAAAATGTCAGAATCAGGGGCTGGGGTTGTGGCTCAGTGATAGAGCACTTGCCTAGTGCATGCCGATCCTCAGCACCACATTAAAAAAAATAATAAGCAAAATAAAATAAAGGTTAAAAAAATTGGACTAAAAAAAAGATGTCATAATCATGCGTGTTAAAGACCCAGTGATGTCTGAACTGATAGTTGGAATCTGTCCTTTCACATTCCCTCCTCAAACATGCCTCTTTCACTTCTGAAAACTTTGGAAACTTTGGTGAAATGCAGTAGGACAAGGAATTATGAGAGATGGTCTTGTTGAAATAGCTGCCTACTCTTCCTCCCATATATTGAGAGTTCTCTTTCAGGTGTGGCCAAGTATGCTTCTTTTGTACCTACCTCTGTAAATAGACAATAATTAGAAACTCTAGACAAAATCGTAAAAAAAGAACAGGTGCCTGAATATGCTGGAAATTAAATGAAAGTTGGAAGATTCTTCAGGGGCATTGATGTGGAAGAAGCGAAAGGTATGGGAAAAGTTTTCTATTTATTATGGTTATTAGCTGCAGCCAGCACCATGTTGGGGCAGCTAAAGCAACTATAGGAAACTGGCAGTACCTCTGGCCTGAAAACCAGATGACAGAGTTTTGGGCAACCACAGCTGCTAAATATAAACTCTGTCCAAATCTCTGGTTGACCTCTGCATCAAGCATGTGTGGGGTAGAATCCAAGAAGCTCAGCTAAAGATAGAAGAATTGAACTGAGATTTGAGCTGGTACCCAAGAGACAGAGTTTGCAATTTGAGTCCAACCAACTTAATTGCTTGCTATAGCAACATCAACAACAACTACTCAACACTCTTCCGCAGAATATAGCAGAATTCAGAGAAACAACAACACAACATTCACAACATCCGGAATATAATCTAAAAATATTTAAAACAGAAAGAGCCAGAAAGATGTGAACTATTTTCAAAAGAAAACACAGTCAAGACTGATACCTACTTGTTCAAATATTGGAATAATAGAGAAGGATTTCAAAATAATTATTATATATACTCATTAATATAAGAAAAACTATGGTTAAAATAAATGGCAAAAGATAAAATCTCAGTTGAGAAATAATTTTAAAAAGGACCAATAGAACTGGAAAAATGGAACATGTACAATAAAAATTCACCGAGTTCATCTGGGCATGGTGACATACTCCTGTAATCCCAGCAGCTTGGGAGGCTGAGTCAGGAGGATTACAAGTTCAAAGCCAGCCTCAGCAACTTAGAGAGGCTCTAAGCAACTTATGAGACCCTGTCTCAAACAAATTGTTTTAATTTTTTTTTTTTTACTGAATTCCCCTAAAAGCAAAATGGGTATGAGAGAGAGAAAGATTCGGTGAACTTAAAGACAGATTCAATAAAAAGTATTTAATCCTAAGAATGGATAAAAGCAAACAAATGAATGGCACTTCAGATAACTGTCAGACAAAAATCAAAATTAATCAAAATCTAATTAGTTTAATTAGAATTCCAAAAGAAGAGAAAAAATGGAGCAGAGAAGTTGAAGAAATAATAAGCAAAAACATACTAAAAATATGGAAAAGAAATGAAACATATAATTATGAAAATAAAAAGTAATAACCAAGTAAAAGTTAGTCTTTGTGGATATCCCAAATTTGATGAAAGACATAAATTTATACATTCTTAGCAAACCCAAGCAGGTAGAGGGAAAAACCTTGGGAGAAAAGATACATAATATATAGGGATACAGTGATTCAGTGGAGACCAGAAAATAATGGAAAGGCATCTTCAAAGTTTTGAAAGAACAAAAAGATCTATTCACCTAGAATTTATATCCAGTAAAACCATTATTCAAGAATGAACTAGCACAGAGGCATGTCTAGATAGAATAAAGCTATCTGAGTTCATCAGGCCACACTCCAATAAATGATAAAGGAAGCTCTTTAGACTCAAAGGAAATGACACCAGATAGAATTGTGGATCTTCCAAAAGGAACAAAGAGGATCAAAAAGGGTAAAGTTTGGGTTAAATATAAAATATTATCTTTTTATTTCTCACTTTCTGTCAAGTGTAAGTGACATTTAAACCATAGATTTTAGCATTGTCTCATAGGGTTGATAGCCTGTCGATGTATACAAATGATAGCTTCTGCCTAAGTCATGGGGAGGGGTGGTACATGGACTCACACAGTTGCAATGTTTTTACACTTTTTATAAAAAGGTACAATATTAATTCTGAGCAGATTGTGAAAGGTTAAGCGTATATAATGACTAGAAATAATAGTGAACTTACACGGAAGCTCAATATGACAATTGTGATCACAAATTGGGTTTATCAACTGAATCTATGGAACTTTGCAAAAAGAAAATAAAGCTGTTATAGAAAGAAGCTAGTAGATAAATAGATGAGACTTATGTTTCATTCCCCTTCTCTGCTTTCAAATCATCTTGATTACTAGTGCTTGGTGGGAAAATGGGCAATGCGTTCATTTGGTCATTCAAATATGCATCCATCCAATAGGTAGTTATTGCAGTCATTAGATTTTCAGGTGCTCTATCAGCCTTTGAGGATATAAATGAAATAGGGCATTGTCCTTGCCTTCAAGGAGCTTTGTTCTCCCATGAACTGATGGAGACTCTCCTGACCTCTACACTGACGGAATCTTTAATCTTGTCACTTTTGAGCCATTTAGGGGAAAGAAAAACACCCATCTTCCTAGATTCAGGTAATAGATATCAGGTGCTTCAATCAGACTTTGAGCATGGAGAGTATGGTAGTTTCTGATGGCCTATCCCACTGTGGTATAAAGAGCTCTCCAGGGGTGGGAGGGTCTGAGGGCTGAGGATTATATCCTTGTTTTAGCTTTTTTCACTACTCTGACTAAATGACCAAGCCAGCACAACTGTGGAGGAGAAAAGGTTGATTTGAAGGCTCACAGTTTCAAAGATCTTAATCCATAGAAGGCTGGCTCCATTTCCTGGGGCTCAAGGTGAGGCTGAACATCATAGCAGGAGAGTGGGGCAGAGGAAAGCAGCTCACATGGTGATCAGGAAGCAGAGAGAGATTTCACTCTCCAGATACCCCATAGCCACACCCCAGTGGACTACTTCCTTCAGCCACCCCCCACCACTTCCAGTCACCACTCAGTTAATCCTGTCAGGGTTTAACTCACTGATTGGCTTAAGAGTATGATCCAACCACTTCTCCTCCAAACCTTCTTGGATTGTCTTACATGTGAGCTTCGGGGGGACACCATATCTAAACCATAACAGCCCTCGACTTGCTGCTCACTTAACTATGTGATTTTAAGCAATCCACTTAACCTCCCTGAGACTCAGTTTCATCATTTGCAAAACTGAGTAGCATTGCTGCCTCTGTTCTTAAAGGAGACAAATATAATTCTGTTTGCTAAGTTCCAGGGTCAGTTTTGATTTAGGGGTCCATTAAAAGCAGGTGTTCTAAAACTAATTCTCCAAGTTGAGTACTGGGGAAAATGACTGATGATATTTACTCTAAAGTCTATGTTCTTGACTAGATTTGTGTGTGTGTGTGTATGTGTGTGTGTGTGTGTGTGTGTGTGTGGTTCAATTTGGTGTAGTGGAATTACCATAAACTTTGTTGTAAGGCATTCTGGGTTTAAATTCTAGCTCAGTATTTACTAGTTATATGACCTTGGACATTATATCTCAGTTTTCTCATTTGTAAAATGGGGTATAATAATGGTTAGACTGTAGGACAGAGGTAACCAGCTGTCTACCAATGTTTAACTTCTCTTCTATAGAACAGAGACATTTCTTTGAGCTGCCTAGCTAGTGCCAAGGATTTGTGTCTGGGAGTGCATCTGTGATTAGTTCTTAGCCATCCCCTGTGAGCTCAAGTGACACAGCCAGTAGCCCAATTCCAGGCATGGCCCAGGGAGTTAGGGAAAAAAAAAGCCCTTTCATGTACACACTTCTATGTTCTTTCCTCTTCAGATAATGCAACTTTGGAAGCCATACAACGGAGCTGCAAGATGGAAGGAGGCTGGGCCTTCAATCACTCTTTGGAGAAGAGCTACCCCACTCTTTAGGTGTGCCATTGAGAATTAGTGTAAGTGACAAACTTCTATTGTATTTGTGCTATCATACATTTGGGGGTTTACTTTTATAGCATTAATTAATTTAGAAAGCACACGTTATGTACAGCATCTGGCATGTGTTGTCTGTCACGTGGTAAGGTTCGATAAATAAGAGCACTCTTCTGCCTGAGAACAGCATTTTTTTATCAGATTGGATGAAGAGTCAATATCACACTTGCTAATGCTGTATTTCTGTCATCTGTGTGTGTGAACCTCAATTCCCCAATAAATCAAGCAGAGGTAGCAATACAACTTCCTCACTAGAATTATTGAGAAATAAGTAAATATTAAGCAGAAGGTGGAAGTACATGTTTAAGAAAGAATATTCCAGAAATACCAGATGATGCCAGGCAGGACAGGGAAGACGGAAGTAAACTGGAAACAATCTTTCTTGAAAGCAACACAAGTAGTCAGACTGTTATCAGACAAGGAGGCCAGAAGTAATTTTCCCTTAGAAGTATGTGTTAGTCAGCTTTTCACTGATGTGACCAAAATACCCAACAAAAACAACTTAGAGGAGGAAAAGTGTATTTTGTCTCATGGTTTCAGAGGTTTGGTCGGTGGTGGGCCAACTCCATTGCTCTAGGCCAAAGGTGAGGCAGAACATCATGGTGGAAGGGCGTGGAAGGGGAGCACTGCTCTACCTGTGGCAGCCAGGAAGCAGAGAAAGAAGGAGGAGCCCGGGAGACAAGGAAGATGTAATCCCTGCGGGCATGCCCCCTGGTGACCCACCTCCTTCAGTCACATTCCACCTGCCTCCAGTTACCACCCAGTTAGTCTTTTCAAATTATTAATCTATCAAGTGGGTTAATCCACTGATTAGGTGACAGCTCTCATAACATACTCATTTCACCTCCTGCATTTACAGAGGAGATTTTTTTTAGGGGATACCTGATATCCAAACCATAACAAAGTTCTTTTGTGAAGTGTGCTCACAGCTATGCATGAGAAATGTACATTCAGTCATTCCATAAAGATGGGCCTTTGTCCATGAAGTGCAGTCTCAGGGCAGGCTTAGGACCAGAGGACGTGGGACTGCATGGCACAGTCCAAATGTCCAAACCTAGCATTTTATTAGATACAAGGGCTCAGGGGAGTGAGGAATAGCACTTCCCCTGCTGACCATACTGTGTGATGGGAAGATGTGGCATCTCTGTATTCACTGCTATACCCCCCACCCCACCCCACCGCCTCTGGTGCCTCTGATACCTCTGGTATCTTGCTTTTTGCCTGTCTTTGACACTTCCCCCCGACTTGTCTCATGAGGCTACACCCACACAGACCCTAGAGTAGGTTCTGTGATCTGTGGACCCAGAGAGTTCTGAGAGCTAGTTAGGGTGGCAGTCATTCTCATCCATGGGGATAGTCTGACTCCTGTCCCAGCACCCAAGGAGCTCAGGGACAGGCATCTGAGAACTGGAATCCAACTGGGGCAAATGACAGTAAAGCAATATTTCAGGCCAGGCCTAGGAACAGGGTTTGAGGTAGAACAGGCTCTGAAGGGGCACCGAGAGGTGGAGTACTCTCTACTTGAGAAGACAGAGGGTGCCAGACATGAGATACAGGAAGAGGAAGGAAGAGTCAATGTTGAGGTTGAGGATGGGAAGAATCTGCCTATGGTAAAGAACTGGGATGAGGAGTGGGGGGCAATGGTTGGGTAACATGAATGGGGCCAGATTCTGGAGGATCCTGAGTGCCAGGCCGAGAAGGCCTGTGTCAGACAAGACTCCACAGGGAACTCACCCCACGCTGGTCAACCCATCCTGCCAGGCCCTTCCCCCGGGGTGGCTGGTGTAGGCCTCCTGGCCCCATCTGCTCGGCACATCTTTCACTTCAGCTTAGCTCAGCACATCTCCTTGTTCCTCCCCGACTCCTCCTGGCTTAAGCCATTCCTCCAGGCAGAGAGGCATCTGGGGTCTAGGTCACCTCTCTGCTGCTGCTTCCCCACAGAACAAGGCCTCTCCCACTGCGAGTCCTCCAGACAGGGCCTGCCACTCCCTCTGCATCTCTCCAACCGATTGGACCAGCCCATCACACACTTAAGACTTCCCCTTCCAGTGGCTGTGTTCAGTTTTAACCAGGAGAATTCAGAGCTACCTAGTCCATACCTCCTTGTTCTAGCTCCCTTCTGCTTGACCACCTTGCTTTTGTTACCCAAAGTCAGTCTCTCTCTCTCTCTCTCTCTCTCTCTCTCTCTCTCTCTCTCTCTCTCTCTTTACAAATGGCTTTGCAGCAGACCTGGGAGTGCACAGCAGCACCAATAATGTCTCCATGGTTCCTTGTTAGCTGCACTCTAAGCAGGAAAGTGACTAGGCCTGACAATATAATTTACATTGCTGTATAAAACTATCTGTGGAAGCCAAGCTAATTTGTGCCAGATTAGGCTATTTGTCTCAGCCACTGTCTAGCAGCACAATCTATCAGAGGGCTGTTTTCAAATATCGCTTTTCAAGCGTGCCCTTGAGAGGCAGAAATTGATTGGGATCTTAGAGAGCAAAATTACAGCAATAACTTAAAAGAAACAATAATTACTGAATCATACCAGTGTCAGCACTCTGCAAAACACGAAATAGCCATCAAACCCCAATCCAATATATTCTGAAGCGAATTTATTGAATGGAAAAAGCAGTTGAGTGAGGGTTTTTCTCCCCCCTCCTCCCCTTCCCCTGTACATATGGTTATCTCAAAACCGCAAGTGAATGAGTCGATAATTCTTGTCATTGACTGCTCCATTTTCACGGAGTCAGAGGAGATCCATTAGCTGCCTCCTGCTGCACCGTCTCCCTCTCTCCTCTCTCCTTCTCTCCATCGCCTCTATTCATTTGCTAGTCTCTGCTCTTCAAGCAAACAAACATGTATAACTAATCATCTGTTAAAATGCAGAGGGCCCCTAATAAATCTCTGCAGCTGAAATACTTTAATGGGTAATTAATTGATCCTGTTCCAGAGGAGTAATAAGATAATAAATTAGACAATATTTCACTCAGTCGTGTCAGGCTCCTAGCTAATGGCGCTGTAGGGCTAAGCTGAAGGATAATAAATTAGCCAGAAATTAACTGCTAAGAGCTTTCTGCAGAGAAATCGGCTGACAAGTGAGTCACACGCGTGATTCAGGGCCTGACTGGTGTTGTGGCGGATCTCTGTGAATATGAACTTGCGCTTTGGGAGGGGGCCCCATGGGGCGCTCCCAGCTGGGCTCCGGTAGGATTCTGTTCCCAGGCTGAGAGAGTCTGTTGGGTAATACCCAGAGCTTGTGAAACTGGCTAGGGCCCTTGCCTTGCACACCAAACGGGTTCCTGGGAGCCATGAGCTCTTGAAAATAGCTTCCCCCAAGCCATCAGATTCACTGAATTTTTATGGGTCTCACCCACTCTGACCAGTAGGGCTACTGAACACCTGTCGCCGCCAGGTTCCATCTGTTGCTTCCTAAGCAAATATGCAAATAAGGAAGGATGGAGTCTTGGTAGAGGTGGAAAAGAGACTTGTGCCCTTGCAAAAAGGCTCTTGCAAAAGTTAAGCAGAAAAGTGAGCAGGAAGAAAGAGAGTGAAATACATTTTGTAGCAGGTAAGAGATATTTCTTACTAGTTCAGATGGAGAAAATCTCTTAGTTTTGTGGAGAAACTCAAGGAAGGTGATAGCAAGTATTAGGCAAGAAAAGACTTGGCCCTGGAAGGTCACGTGGGCCTTTGCTTGAGGGTAGAGGAAGCCAGCTTCTCCATGGAGGCAGCTGGAGGGTAGCTGAGCATGTGGTGAAACATGGGGGGATTAAAGAGATTTGACTTCTTACTCTTTACTGGCTGTGTGACCTTGTGTAGGTTACTTACCTACCCTGAACTCTGGCTTGATCCTCAGTAAAAGAGTGTTGAATGAATGACTCAAGAGAGGCTTGGAGTGTTGTGTCTCACTCAGAGCAGGTGCCAATCTAGCATTACTTATTACATGGAGTGCAGAGGGTAAGGTTATTTATAAGTGAGGGAGATAGCAGATAAAGAAATGAGAGGGGGTGGTGGTAGGAGACAGTGGGTGAGCTTGATCCTCTTTTTCTGGAATAAGGACCAGATTACTTGCACCCCACCATAAAGATGGTCCTAACTGGATGTGCTCACCTTCTGGCAGACCATCCCTCATTGCTTCATGGTAAATATGAGTCAATTAATCTTCCGCGTCACTAGTAGCAATGGCAGTGTGGGTCGAAGGCATCCATAGAACTGGATTATTTAAATGGGATAATGCAGAATCAAAGAGATTTAGAGACCAGAAAGGAGAAGAAAAACTCTAGACTGATTCCCAGGTTTCTGGCTTGGGTGCCTGGTTGTAATCCATTCCACTTAGCATCACCCAGAGTGGAACACTTGCCTTGCCTTCTGGCCACAGGGGCCATTGAAATTGTTTGCACTGATCCTTGAAACCTGTCACTCACTCTTATAGCCACCACTGCCTGAGGATCCTGCTGCTTTGGCTTCACCGACTCATCCTGTTCCTGAGTACAACAAAACAGTGCACCCCTCCCTTGTGCCACCTGCTTCCTGACCTTGGAGTTGTCTTGCTGCTGCTGGAGCAGGTAGCAAGCACTTTGACACCAGCTTGACACTCATGTATGTGCATCCCTGGGGTCCAAGGGGGTTGATGTCCTGGGAGAGGCATAGTCTGACCAGTGGGTGGTGGCCACCAACAGATAAATTGTTCTCCTTTCTCCCTACTGGATGAACTACTTGAAGATGGGGTGGCTTCTAATGACCTTTTGCAGATATCGTATGACACAAAGGGATCCATTTCTCACAGGCCTGTGGCTGGCTCATCGTGTGCTCCCTTCTACTTGCCCTCCCCACCTCTGTACCTCACCCCCTTCCCTATTCCTGCTTCCTGGAGACTCACTCTCTAGTAAACACTAGCACTACATACATATATACACACACACATACATACTTACATAAAGAATTTAAGTGTGTAGTCAGTACCAGTTATATCACATCAGCTTATCAGCAGTGTGGTGTTGGCATTCCTTGTCTGGTGACCAACCTGAGGCAGTGCTGGAAAGACAAGACCTTGCATAGTCTCTGTTGGACTTCAGGGTGGCTGAAAACCACCTTGAGCAGCCCCTATACTGCTCTCATTCTGGGGGAGATGCTGGGTCTCCTGGAGGATCTTGACTAGAGGCCTGTAGCAGAACAGATTCAGCCAGAACTGGGAACCAGAAACTGGATTCTAACTGTGTAAAAGCAAAAGGGGTGGGTTGGGGGTGTGCTCAATGTTTGAGTGCTTGCTTAGGGTATACGAGGCCCTGGGTTCCATCTGTAGCAACACACACACACACACACACACACACCTACCCACCCACCCACCCACACACACACACACACACACACGGAAGGAGATTTCCAAGTAGAAATGATAAGATCAGTACAGCTCATAGCAAGGACCCATTCACTGACATATCTTTTAAAAATAAGTGTGTTTTCATGTATTTTATTCCCTTATGTGGAATGTTTTCCTGGTCTCTCTCAGTCTATTCTTGTGCTATTTGCATATCTAGGCTCAGTTCTTTGTTCCTCATGACCTCAGGATTGGAAGAGAGGTTGAGGGCACCATGCCTAACCTCAGCCTCTGATAGAGCAGAAACAGGTGGCTGAGCCTGGAGGCCCATTTTTGTGTGTCTGAATCGTTAGAAAATAGTTTCAAAGGTCCTCTCCGTGCCCTGTACAGAAGCACATGGTAAATTTACTTTCCTTTTTTTTAGATAATTGATGACCATGATATGACCCCTAAGCCTTCTCCTTTTTTCAGACTAAATCTGCCTAGCTCCTTTAACCATTATGTGTGTACCATTTCCCCTTCTTTTTATTGTGAAGTATAGCATATGCAAAGAAAATAACCCAGACCACCAAGTACAGCTTGGTTGATAATACAAAGTGATACCCATGAAGGGAAAAGACACTGGTAGCTTTTTCTGGTGGTACTGCCTGAATCAGACCTCCCCACTCCTTCCAGAATATGTGCCACCTGACTTCTGTGCAAATCATTCATTGCTTTTCATAAATTCTATAATTTATGTACAGATATACTTCTGAGGTATTGTGAGTTTGGTTCAAGACCATTGCAATAAAGTGACTATCTCAATAAAGCAAGTCATATGATATTTTGATTTCCTAATACAGATAAAAATATCTTTACATTCTACTATAATCTATTAAGTGTTCAGTGATATTATGTCTAAAAAAGCAATGAACAAACTTGATTAAAATACTGTATTTGTAAAAAATGCTAATAATCATTTAGGCTGATGAAAAGATAATGCCATTAGATTTGCTGGAAGCAGGGTTGCCACAAACCTTCGATTTGGTAAAAAACAAAACCCCCCAAAACAAAACAAAACAAAACAAAAAAACACTGGAATTATCTGTGAAGTGCAATAAAGGGCAATCATTCCCAAATCATATGGTTTAGCTTTGCCAGTTTTAAGTCTTCTGAATTGTTCTTTTTTGCCTTCTTTGTTCAACCCTACGTTAATGAGTGCTATGCTTTGGATGTGTGCCCCCAAAGTCCATGCATTGGAACCTTAATTCCACAATGAGGCAGTGTTGGAGGAGGGGCCTGGTGGAAGGTGCTTGCACGTTGAGGGTGGATCCCTCATTAATGGGTTAATACTTTGCTTGTAGGAATGGGTGAGCTATTACAGGAATATCCCCCCTTTCTCTCTTTGACATGTGCTCCCTTATCCTTCTGTTTTCTATCATGAATTGATGTAGTATGAGGCTCTCACAAGATGTGGTTGCCAGATTTTGGACTTCCTGCCTCCAAAACTATAAGCTGAAATAAAACTATTTTATTTATGAATTATACAATCTTAGGTATTGTGTTATAGCAACAAAAATGAACTAAGGCATGGGATTCATCCATGTTTTTGCTTGTTGCTGTAATTGTTTCTATTGACACATAATGTTTTGTATATTTTATATGTGAACAAAGATGCAATTTTGTTGATACATGATAATTTATTGATTGTTTCACAATATGAATGTACTATAATTTACATATGTGTTCTATAACTGATATACTTCAAAGATGGTTCTAGCTTGGGGCCCTTATGATGGATA